AACAAAATAGAAACAACAAACAGATATAAAGCGATTTGATTGGTTTATCGAACGAATACAAACGCCTTTGGCTTTTGGTTGGTTAAGCAAACGCTCGGGTGAAAAAACTTCATGCCCGAGAACGCTACCACTGGTTTTCCCGCCAAATGACGTCTGAGAAACGAGCGCAGAAATTCCATACTGATGACGCGTCACTACCCAGATCTGGGTAGTGCTTCTGATTGGTTGAATCAAATTTCCCACGCGGCACGCTAATCCAAAGATGACAAAATTTCTGCCTATATACATGACTAGTACATTTCATTGTGAGTATTGTCAATGTTTTACCTTCAAAAGATGCGATAAATTCAAACTAAAATGTGCTAGTCATGGAGGTACGTATAGTACGCATTATTTTGGAAAAAAAATGGCATAACCTCAAAACAGTGAATGTGGACGCAGATTTTTGACAAGTTCGTAGGATAGGTTTGTCCTGAAATTTTAAGATGTTGCAGTGAATCAATCTCAATGAAAGCTTTAGACCTTCAGTTGTATACATTATAAAGATAATGTGAAGAGTCGTTTCAGAGATATAAAAAAAGGCGCTAAAAGTCCAAATTTTGAATGAAGTTGCACTTAAACAGGTAGTGAGAAAACGGGTTAGTTTTCAAGATCGCATGAACGAAAATACAGCAAAATTTCCCGGCGTCAAAACATGATATTAAGCAGCGTTCTGACGCTACTTATGAATATTAAAATTTGAGTCATTTATAACGTTTTTATTAAATAGTCTGTCACGTATTTCCCCACGTTCTGATTAAATAATCTATCACGTTTGAAATATATTTTCGTTTTAGTCGAATTCAAACATACAGAACTTTTTACTTCTTACGGAGATTGTTTGCTAAACACCAAACTTTAAGTTCCTAGTGTTTGATTTTCAGTAACTGGTCTAGATCACACAAAATTCGGCTTTCATCAATTTCAAAGTTTTTTGTTTCTTGTTGTCATAGTAATATCGGTTTACTTAATACTACATTTCACACTTTTCAATCCATAGCCAATTACTGGTGAAAATTTTTTTAGCGATCGGACAAGGAAGAAGCCACTTTTAAGGCGATTGAAAAATATCGGTTTGGCCTCTGAAAAACTGTATCGAAACGCCTTAAAACCAACCTACCTACCTGCGCAATCGAAGCATCCTCCGAATATTTCAACCCGGGTATCGTTTGGTCCGAATGAATTTACATACTTTATGGCAGCGGTACCACAGTGAGTTGTACCAAGGGATTCTCCATCTGTTGCACAAACTTGGTTTCTTGGAGAAGTGGTGCATTGGGCTGCATCACTGGACTGACAAGAGTTGCACTGGGTTGGACCAGCCACTGTTAAGACAAAAATTCAAAAGTTGAGTTGAAAATATACGATGTTGAGTTTGAAATTTGACGCGGTGACTGGCGAAATGCGGCGAATGAGTATCGAATGAAAAATTGGCATCTCAGTCAAATGTAGAATACTGGTTCAGGCATCAAAACTAGTAAAAAGAAGCAGTGTATAAAAATTTGTTTGTCGAGTTGAACATTGCATGGTTTGACTGTGTAATTTGACAAAGCGAGTGGAAAATGTACAGCTAGCAAGGTCACATAAAAAAGTTGAGTTCAAAGGCTAAAAGACAAGTGTAAAAACGTTTTCCAATGACGTGAACTCTAAACAGGAAGAGTGTAAAATATTGAATTCAGCCGTAAAATTCAAGTTTTGAAGTTGAAAAAAAATAAATACATGAACAATTTAAAATACAAACCATGAATTTTGGCGGGGATCGTACGCCATACACCTGAGGGGATGAGCTTAAGTGTGCTGCATGATTAGCTGCACGTTTTCGTTTGCTTAAAGGAGCTGTGTCACGAAATTAAGCCAAATTAGGAAATTACAAAATGCCTGTTAAATTAAGAAAAACATAAAAATAACTGCTTAAAACTTTAAAGGAAGGTTAAAATAACATAACAGAAACAACAGATGCCACGGATGGGCAAAACTGAAGAAGATTGAAACGGATTGAAATTAGGGTTTTTGAAAACTGTTCAGCCTAACAGTTTTTCAAAGTTGATCCCTGCTACTTGCAACTTCAAAAATAATGCTCAGGAGAGATATTTGTTTGTCTCGGATCTCTGATTTTGTCATTTACATGTAATTTCTTTGCTTACTTTAAGTTTCATAGCGATTGAGGGCGAGTAATTGGCAAAATTAAACAAAATTAACTGGACTGCCGTGACACAGCCCCTTTAAGCTGGTAATTTTTCATTTCCGTCGTCAACGTTTTTGTTTGCGAACTTGCTAGTAGCGTTACCTCGCAAAACAATTCTTGATTTGCGAGGATTTCGTTGAACAACTGACGATTTGATGGAAAACACGCGACGAAAACGACGTCCCGGCGCAGCGCAGGTACCCATAAAGAGGCTCAAACGAGATGCAAAGTCAATTGACAGCAAGCTTTTCAATCCCTCCTATCAGCATCACGTTGTAGCTTACATTCCTTATTCTTGCACGAGAGATTTTGGAATGTTTGGACTCAGCTTTTCCAGCGCAATTTTTTTTAATTTGTTGCTCAGGAGTCAACATTAAAATGATAGGTTACTCACCACTCGTGTCTGCAGCAACGAGAAAAACGAGCACGGGAAACAACCTCATATTTCGAATCTAGAAAACAGTTCCTTGTAAGATGCGTTTAGAGACCTCTTCCCACGGTGGAAAAATGTGTATTGAAAGAAATATTATTTACTCTAACCGGCTATGATTGGTTCAAAGTTGACAGTGCCTTTAATATTAATTTCGAATCGGAACCCAACAGGAAGTCAAATGCCGAATTGAAAATGAAACGTCATGTTTTATTTACTTGAGTATCCAATTGTCCTCATTAATTACCTTCGTTTTTGGGAAGAGTGCCCTCAAAAATTTGAAATGAATAAAACGGATGCAGTGGATGCATAGCCAAAAACATTCCGTAGTTTAACTTTATCACCATCACCAGGTAACTAAATAGTCCTATTTATCTCGTCAGTAAAAAAAACACATACACACATATGGTAATTCTGTCACGATTTCACCGTCCTTTTGTAACATCCTGTCTACAGTCTCTTCTCTAGAACCATCTATAAATATCTCAAGATTCGTTTTCTACAACAGAACTGAAATACAAGGACACATACACTAACTCCACGTTTTCCTCGATCCGGGTCATGGCAGACTGTTAGGAACAGCTCAGCAGCTCAATAAAGAAAAGCAACATAAGCTGCGAAATGCTTCAATGGAATTGCAAATAAATAAAACCAGTGTTTTTCGGAAAATTGTAATAGGGACCTTACGAACCGACAATTTGTTTTTTCAGTCAATATAATAAACATTTTTAACGCCTCCATGAGCAGTCAAGTGTTAAACACGTCCGCCTAATAACCGATTAAGTTCCTGGATTCCTTCATTCTTTTGCACTTCCAAGGGTGGATAACCTCTGAAAACATTAAAAACCTTGAAATGATTAAAGAACGAAATGCTTCAAAAGACATAAGGAAGTTAAATCTTTAATCAAAAGCGATTTATGTTCAAAAGGAGATATTATTTTCTGCTTTCTACTGGGTGTGGCTCGGGCTTTATTTGACCGCTAAAAGAGAACATACTCCAACCGAGCAACACAGCATTATTTTGATTCTTTCTATATAGACATGAATTTACGCACAAACCTAAGGGATACCTTTACGATTCTCGCGTGGTCGACACGAACGAAGGTGCTCTCGAATGGAGCTCCTGTTCTAGATCGTTTATATTTCGTTGATATTTCCGTAAGGTAAGTTAATAAAATTGCTTGACCAGAAGCAACAGAACTTAATGATGCTTAGATTTATTTATTTATTTATTTGTTTACTCTTATTATTTTTTTAATTTAATTTTTTTTTTGTCCCTGTGCGTACCCAAAGAATGCAGTTTACAGTCTTCATATTAAAAATCGATCACTTACCTATCGCTTCTGCGGCAAAGAGCAAGACAAGCACGGGAAAGAACTTCATTTTTCGAACATTCCCTTGTAAGACGCATTGAAGTTGCAACTGCAAGATAGAGATCTCTTTCGCAGGGCATGTATTAAAAGCGCAAATATGTTAAACGTCATAAGATTACTTGCTCAAACGTCAAAGGTCGAAAATGCAACATAATAACATTTAACGCATTAGCGGGTATTTGAGTTATGATGACAGGAAGTCTATAGTTCAAGAAGTCATAATGTCACGTATAGATTATTGTAATAGCCTCTTGGTTGGTGTTCCATCCACCCAGCTAAGTAAATTACAGCGTTTACAAAATGCAGCGGCTCGCCTTGTTGGTAACGTCGCAAAGTATGATCACATTACTCCTACACTTGTTAATTTACATTGGCTTCCAGTAACGTATAGGGTAAAGTGTATCTATGACAACGCACCCGAATACTTTAAGGATCTAATAAAAGTTAAGAGTTCCACCAGATATAATCTTAGATCGGACAGGGAGATGTTACTTGAGGATTATAGTACACGATCAAAGAAGACACTTGGAGACAGGACTTTCAAAGTAGCCGCCCCTAGAATCTGGAACATTTTACCGAAGGACATTAGGAAACAGGACAACTATTGTACAGTATGTTGCCCAGTATCCGGACACTTCAGTTTAACATTGCAATAACTTTCCTTTGTTAGTCGCAAGAGCTCTGAAATTTGGCCCAGAGAAAACCTATTTAGTCCTTAATATGACGAAAGACAGTTTAACTTTTTTGCCTTTGTTTTCATGGTGAAATTAATATTTTTGCAGAGCTCCTATGTTGCCCAGTATCCGGACAGCTGGCCCAGTATCCGGACACAACAATAACAACGTAATTGTACATAAATTTCGACAGGCAAGCGACTTATAAGCTTCTCTTGCANATGCAACATAATAACATTTAACGCATTAGCGGGTATTTGAGTTATGATGACAGGAAGTCTATAGTTCAAGAAGTCATAATGTCACGTATAGATTATTGTAATAGCCTCTTGGTTGGTGTTCCATCCACCCAGCTAAGTAAATTACAGCGTTTACAAAATGCAGCGGCTCGCCTTGTTGGTAACGTCGCAAAGTATGATCACATTACTCCTACACTTGTTAATTTACATTGGCTTCCAGTAACGTATAGGGTAAAGTGTATCTATGACAACGCACCCGAATACTTTAAGGATCTAATAAAAGTTAAGAGTTCCACCAGATATAATCTTAGATCGGACAGGGAGATGTTACTTGAGGATTATAGTACACGATCAAAGAAGACACTTGGAGACAGGACTTTCAAAGTAGCCGCCCCTAGAATCTGGAACATTTTACCGAAGGACATTAGGAAACAGGACAACTATTGTACAGTATGTTGCCCAGTATCCGGACACTTCAGTTTAACATTGCAATAACTTTCCTTTGTTAGTCGCAAGAGCTCTGAAATTTGGCCCAGAGAAAACCTATTTAGTCCTTAATATGACGAAAGACAGTTTAACTTTTTTGCCTTTGTTTTCATGGTGAAATTAATATTTTTGCAGAGCTCCTATGTTGCCCAGTATCCGGACAGCTGGCCCAGTATCCGGACACAACAATAACAACGTAATTGTACATAAATTTCGACAGGCAAGCGACTTATAAGCTTCTCTTGCACTTGCAAAGTAGTCTGGCAATCGATTCCAAAAATATAACCTATCATCGTGAAATAAAACATAACAAATGACTGGGTTATGGTGGGGAACGCGAGCCGGGTTGTTAAATGGCATAATTCTTACTTCCTTGTCTAGGATTAAAAAAGGAACTTTTTCAATGATTTAAGGAAGACATCCGTGGACATGTCAAAGCCGCGGTTTGTTAGCTCAATCAGCCAATCTCCAAACGACTTTTTTTCTTCATTTTTTATTTTAAAAAAAAGCTCGGGGAAGGGACCTCAATGCGACGGTCAAAGGTCACTTTCCTATTTAGTTCTGACCTGCAGTGTTGATTTCTTCAAGCTCAGTCCCTACAGACCCTACAATAAGCCTGCTTTTCTAGCACTAATTCCTCCTTCTTTCACATCTCTCAATCCCTTTGTGACATTTTCAGACCGTTGCAACCCCATTCTAGCAGTCACAGTGGGGAAAGTATGAGAATTCCAGGTTTAACTCCGACGCTTTCGGTTATATATAGAAAATGCAGTCACGCGAAACAAGCGGCGCACACGAAATCAAGTCGCGTCCGAATGAGTGAAGAAAATTTCCGTACGGAGTTGAATAGAATTACATTTTACGACTATATTATATATCCTAAGCTTTAATTATAGCTATAGATATGAAATAAATCTTTTCCGGATAATGTACGCAGCTAATTCATCGATTCTGTACAGCAAAGAAAAAACTGTCCGGATACTGGGCACCTGACATCAATACTTAGTGAATAATTCTGGGCTCCGTTATTCCAAACAAATCGAATTTCAAGAAGAATTAATAAACTTTCTGAGAACCTGACTTCTTTTAGTATCTTCAATTTAAATATAAAACCGTATCTTTGAAAATTTTATATATTACCTACCCTTTTCTGAGCAGCACTAATTTTACTGCGCAGTAAACAGCGTAAATATTAGCCATGAAATGTTTATTCACCTGAACAGAACGGCGTCTTCTGCGACTGTTTCGCAAGCTTTCAACTCGCCAAAACTTTCATCTTAAAGCCGAAATGTTCAGCTTTCATTCGAAATACTTTGTTTACAGATAATTGAAAAGGGCGCCTCAAAAATTGAGTTTTTGTTTTAAGTGTCCGGATACTGGGCAACATACTGTACTTTTAAGAAACAGCTAAAGACTTATTATTTTAAACGTCAATAGACGGATCGAAACGCACCAATTACTGATTACGAGTCTTCATAGCCAATAACATCACGGCTTAACTGACAGACGACCAATAACATCACGACGTAATTGACCAATCAAATCAATAACCAGAGGATAATACCATCAACTGACGTGATACAACTCACTTTGACTCTGAAGATGACTACCGCACAGGTTGTCGAAACGACAGTCACAGTCAACAATAACAGTCCTATTCAGGACTACGTTCACCCGGACGATCAAACTCAACCTACTTTTATAATGACTCCTGGGTTCAAACCTTTCACATTATTATTGTTATTATTATTATTATTATTATTATTATTATTATTATTATTATTATTATTATTATTATTATTATTATTATTATCATTATTATTGTCTCTATTATCACAGTCTTTGCTGGTGTTCTTTTTGTGCATCAGCCGGGCGCAAACCATGCACCTAGAGCGTCAGTCACTCAAGTCAATCATTCTGTTGATACACTGAGCACCTTTCTGAGGATTCGTGCAGATCCCAGCATGCAGATCTTTTGAATCTCTGTCATAGTAGCTCTCTCTGATACTTTCTTGATGTTTTCTACCATACCCCTCTTCACTGTACCAAGCGCACCAACAACCACAGGGATCACTACAGTTTTCATATGCCACATTCTCTGTATTTCTATTTCTAGGTCTTTGTACTTGCATTTTTTTTCAGTTTCCTTCAGTGCGATGTTTCTATCTGATGGAACAGTCATATCAATAAGTTTGCAGGTGGAATTCACTGAATCTTTAACGATGATATCTAGTCTGTTCGCTGTTATAGTTCTATCAGTATTGACTGGCATGTCCCACATGATGGTGATGTTGTTATCTTTATTGTGTATCACGGTCTCTGGTTCGTGTTCGTACCATTTGTCTGTAATCTCTATATCATGATCTTTACATATGCTCCAATGGAGATATGCTGCAGCATTATTGTGCCTGGAGATGTACTCTGTTTTGGCTAATACCTCACATCCAGATACAATATG